ATATATATATTTATATATATATATATATACAGTACCAGACATATACTTACGTACAGTTAGAAAAATTAAATTTTATTCGTTGTATACTTATATATGAAATAGTTAAAGAAAAGTCCATTACGTATTTTATAAGTTTATAGCATATATTATGAGATAGCAAAACAGTGTTTATCAATTTACTAGGACTAAGAAGTTTCTTGTATTTGTTTACTCAAGTGTCATATTTTCTGTGAATACATACGTACACTCTGGTAATATACAGATAAGTCAAAATTTCTATAATGTAAACAATATTTATCAATATCTACCTAATAACGTAGGTAGAGAGACATTTTTGTGACAGTACTGTAATGAGCAAACGAAAGAATATAACGCTAGAACAACGTCGGCATATACAGTAGCTTCGCAAAATGGGAGGTCTTATCGAAAGATTTTTACAGATATTGGAATATCTGTTATGGCTTGTTATCAGGCTATACAACATATTAATCGTCATGGAACGCCAGATAATGTTCCTCGTAAAGCGAGACCAAGAAAAACCGACATAAGAAACCGATTTAAGAACATGACCGTAAGATTCATCGATTATCTGAATCAGATAGATTTAAAACTGCAGTTGATATTCGCGCTGAAATATCATCAGATCTTGATAAAAATATAAGTGTTAGAACTGTCCGACGTAGATTGATTGAATTTCAATTACATGGACGCGTTGTTAAAAAGAAACCATTCATATCAGAAAAGAATCACCGAAAAAGAATCGCTTTTGAAAAGAACATTTAAACTGGATGGAACAACAATGGCCTCGAGTTATTTTTACTGACGAATCTAAGTTTAATCCATTCAGATCTGATGGCAAAGTATTTGTAAGACATCGTAGATGAAGAACATCGCAAGAATTTATAAAACCAACTGTAAAAGGGGATGGCCGGTCAGCAGTCGTATGGGGATCTTTGATTATATTAATAGTACAGGTCCTACTCATCGAATAAAAGGAATCAAGGACAGATTTACGTACTTGAACATCGTAGAATATGTACTGCTTCCATTTGCTGAAGAATATATGCCGGAAGAATGGATCTATTAAGCAGATATTGACCCGATACGCACCGCACGTGTCGTCAAA